TTCATAATGGAACTCATGTATGTCCCAGGAATATGCATGTACATCACATGAATGTTCCAGGTATATTCTGGGAATATCATTTTGCTATGTGGGTTGGATGTACTAAGTACATGAAGAGAGCTCAAATGAGATTTTTTTTTTAAATCCAGTATTTATTAAACGCTTGAAAGCATTTCGACATAACATACATTAAATGTACGCAAAATACATTATTTGTTAAGAAAGAAAAAATATGGACAGAAAGTAAATATGAGTACCTACATAATATTAGTAACGGTATAGTCATATCTTAGATATAGAGTGCAAATATACCCAAATAGACCACGCAATTGAACAGATAACTTCACAATACTCACATTCCTAATGAACATTCTATATACTGGATCCATGTAATTTTTGCTCAGTTTTATGACTAGCTTAAGCAGGCAATTCCATTTCCTATTCATCAGTGCGTCTACAATAGCAGCTCTTACAAAATGCAGTCTCAAGAAGTGATAATCAGATGCTTCACAATTATTTAGTCTAGACACACAATGCTCAAGTTTGGCGGTTTTTTCATCAATGTGGTATCCCTTAAGGAGCTTTTCAACACTTTTCAGTTTACTCCTTGTTACACAAGGAATTATTCTGTCTGTTGGCTGTGAGCTTCCGGTCTCCAGTATTTCATTTTCTAGATGAGAATTGATAGAAACAGTAGCTGGCTTAGCACGTGGCACTGAAGTTGTTGCACTTTTTTTACATTGCTTAGGATGGGTGCGAATTGCTTTGGTTTTACCTATTTTTAATGCTTTACGCTTTTCTGCAATTAAAGTTTTTATAATTCGACTCCTTGGTTCAACCTGGGACGGCATTCTAAGTATATTGTACAGGAATATTATTTAAAATAATTTGATGTCAAAAGCCGTATACATAACCGCAAACAACAAGGCAGCCGCACATGTAGAATGTTATGTGAAGATAGCCGCGTCTGAATGATATGAACTTTATGTTATTTACAGTGTTGGCAACAGTTTGAGAAAACCACTGGTTGGTAAGAATAGCATCTATTAAGATAATTGAATATAAAACATTTGCTGAGTTGTCCGAAATGGAGCTGAGGAATAAAATAAATTTAATTCCGCTCGAACTGAAAGAGGCATTTATTCGAAGTTACCAACATTTCACAATATGTATTAATACATTTAAAGGGCACCAAACACACGAATTGAATGCAGTGAATCCACGACAAATAGTGTATTTAAAAAATAATTTGTAGGAAAGTTACATGGGTACACCAAAAATGTACCTTCGGCACCAATGTGATAAGTGATAAGCAATAGGAAACGTTTAACTTTATGTATTATTACATATGAAAATCATCACTTTTTACTTATCGCAACCGTCTACAATAACATTTACCCTACAAATTTAAAGCAAATACATACATATCTATCGCCTATATCTATATCGCTTGAAGTGGAACCATAACTGGAAAATATTATTATGGAATTGACACCGAAACCCTCTCTTGTAAGAGTACTCCCACTCTCTATTTACAATTTTAAAAGCGATATCCTCATAAGGAGGACCTGCGTGGAACCTAAGAATAGCAAATTCTCTGTTTTCCGGACACGCAGTCAGAAAATACTCCGGAGTACAACTTTTATCAATTAAGTCGGGATAGAATATGTTAAATTTATAACCTTGTACAATTTTAGGAGGCGGATTATCCATGTCATAATGCGTTTGATTGTATTTGTTCCACTCAAAGCCCGTATGAACCCTGTTAAAGTATCTCGGTTTTCGAGGTCTATACTTATCAGACCATAAGTACATTTGGCTGTCTAGGGCTTGTTCGACGCTGAATTGAGCCTCATCGTCGTCCATGCCTTTACACGCCTCCTTCTGCAGCAGAAGTTCTTCTTTGGTGATCACATTCTCCACTTTCTTGCCCTTATCCAATACTTGCAGCCGTGCAAATTCTAGACGTTTAGTCTCATCTTCTTCAGATACTACTATAGTTCCTGTAACAAACAATATGTTGAGTACCCAAAGTTCCAAAAACCAACCAATTTACCAAGGTAAAAAATGTAAGAAACTAGTAGTTATGAAAATTAATCTCTAAAGATGTCTTACCTGGTTCTATCTGATCGGCAGACAATAACTTAGGGCTGTAGTCACCAGCTTGATAGGCAGCAAAACATTCATTCAAAATATCGTTGGCTGCATCTTCGGTGGTTTCGTTATCACTGGGACTATCTTCAGCGGATTGTTGCGAAGTTCCCGGCTGTGCTTCAGGGAGTTTTTCCTCCTCACTTTCAGTTGACTGTTTGCTTTGCTCCTCAATTGCTTCCGGTAATGTTACTGCTTGCTCAGCCTTCAAAACTTGAAGTTTCCTCTTCAAGCTCTGTTGATGTCGGTCTCTTAGCCTGGCTCTAGCTATATGAGCCTTTAATTGTGACAGGAGAGATTCCCAGTATCCAATGTCGATTCCGTCGGCTTTTCCACGGATTTTGCTTTCAATCTGACTCTGCAAGGTGGCCAGCTGAACTGCAGTCTTTCCTTTGAATACCGCAGTTACATCTTGAGCCACAGCTTGATTAATGCCTTCTCGTCTGCCAATTCCAGCATCAAAGTCTTGTTCCCGTTGCAATTTTCTAAGCTTTTGCAGCTCATCTTCGACAATCACAGTGATGTCGTTCCAATAATCAAGGTTCTTTCCTCTTTCCAATTCCTTATAGACTTTAATGTCTTCAACAAGGTCTTCAAGGTCTTTTATCTGTAGGCCATTCAGGTACGTATAGGGTTCATGCATTTCGACGGCATCCACTTCTTCTTCTGCGCTGATATATTTTGCCAGAAGGTCAATTGGTTTAGCTCTGCCATCCTGCAATTACGTGTATAAATAAGGGAGTTCTTTTGGGTTATTTTGAAGTTCAGATTAAATAGCATTTGACGACGAAAATGGGCCAGTTCAGAGATTGACAAGGAAGATGTTTTTAAATATAGAAAACAAATTTCTTTAATCAAATCAAACTGTAACATAACGATTCACTTAATAAAGTAAATAAATTTTTCATATTTTTACAAATAAACCTTAAAAAAAGTAGAATTAAGAAAAGCCTGTATTAAGTATTGTTGCGTCGTGTTCAGTTAATTGTATTGAGTAAGCTGTACCTTAGTTATGCTAAAATCTGAAGCAACTAAAGAACCTTTTTTAAAATTATAAACAATATTTTTTTTCAAATACGTCCAAAAGAACATTTAACTATGTATTTACCGAAATGTCAATTTTCAGAGAAAACATTTTACAGACTTTTATTCCATTATTTAAGTATACATAATGTATACAATGAATATTAAATACTTTATTAACATATTTTTTTGAGATGGAATTAATTGACTTGGTTGATTCAATTGGTATTTTTCTTGCCATGAGTCTGTGTCGTACGATCTCTACTAGGTGATTTTTCAGTTTCTTTAGCACGTTTTGATAACAAATTCGTTCTTTATATTAAAAAGCACTCATCAATTCGTGAAAAATGTGAGAATATTAGATCCATCTAAAGACACAAAATGTGAGGCAAATTATCCAAATAAAAGGTTTCGTAAGAATGAATGAATCTCTGTAATCTCTGGCATGGGAAAAAGGAGAAAATAATATTAAAAATATAAAGTTAATCAAAATCGAGTAATTATATCAGGAATACTTACTTGAATTCTAATGTGGCTTCTTAGTCTAGCCTGTTCTAGATGAAACTGGTCTTCCTGCCTTTCCCACTCCTCGAACTGTGCTGCCTCCTTGCTTCTCTGTAGCAATTGATTTTCGTCCTCTCTCCTCGTTCTCTCCAACTCCCTTTCCAGTCTCCTCTTTTTCACTTTTTCCAACTCCCTTTTGTTCTCCTCTTGTTTAAACCGGTTTCTAGCTTCTAACTCCTCATGACTTGCATTAGTTAAACCTTCTTTTTCTAATTTTTTTGTCCATACGAATGTGGAAAGCAGATTGCCATCACCGAACGGGTTGTCGCTATTTGTGTAGTGAAGATATTCATTATCCCAACCCATTCTTTCCTTCCGTTTCCTCTCTTTGTCTTCTTTCTTTTTGAGACGCCTTAAACGCTTCTCTTCGGCAGTTTCTGTGGCTTTCAACAGTTCTTTTTGTTTCTTGCGTTCTTCCACAGACCGAAGTCGCTCTTTTTCGAGTTTCTTCAGTAGTTTCACAGATTGATCGGAGTCACTATCTGTGCTCCGTGACGAATCATTTCTTAAGTGATGGTGTCGTTTGAGGTTCTCGGAGTTTTTAGTTTTGTCCATCTTTACCTTAAAGATCACATCAAATTAAGCACGCTCGGTGAAAATGTTTCTGAAAGGTCCATAAATAATAGAACAAGGCTGCCATAAACCTATGACGGACCCGTTATTTATGCGCTTGCGTGAGACTGTCTATTTCAAGTGGGGGCGTGAAGTTAGGCGCAAGTATGCTTCTAATGCCCTGTTGCCACTGGAACTAAGTATAGTATACTGGCAATCACAGATTATCAAACTATTGCAAAGTTGCTGTATAGTATTTTAAATAATAATTTCTATTTTGATAATTCTTTTATATGATATCAGAACGAATTATATATATTTTCTTAAAATGGTTTATACTGCATTAAAGCATGGCGTATTTGTCTTACTGGAGTTAGGTGAATATGTATTTTTTTAAGGGAGTACCAGAAAAATATTGAAAATTTTTTTTTCGAAAATTTCTAGAAGATATTAACAGTTGAAGATCGAATTTCAAGTTTGTTATTAAGCATTATTTTGAAAAAATCCCACGTTGGATTGGCAGCCTATTGGAATACTTA